TCCAGATGCCCCCCCCCCCCTTCCCCCGAATTGTGAGATATCCTTGAGCTGCTTTTTGAATATATATTTTATTTTTTGTACTCCATGTTATGTGGCCAAGCACATACAATTGTGAACAGCATTTCAGATGGTATTGTTGTTCTATGTAGCAATGTTCTAAAGTCAGTCTCCGGTTGTCTCACTGTAGTATTTAATGTGTGGGTTGTGAAAATATTTTTGGTCCTTGTAGCAGTGACTTATTTATGGCGTGTGTCCATGCACTGTCTGTGTATTCTTCAGTCGTGGTTAAATTTAGCAGTAAAAGTGCATGTAAACTCAAGGTGTGTAGCTCAGATTGCCTGCTAGATTTTCCATTTCATATAAAAAGTATCAATATGCTCACCGCATTGACTCACACTGTCTCCACAGACAGCATTAGACAGCTGCTGAGCCGGGCTGGAGGAGAGTTTCGTCTCCAGAGAGTGCAACTGGAGACCAGACCCAGAAAGCTGGAAGACAGGATCCTGGTGAGTAGCAAATGTGTTTTACTGTCCTATTCCCTGGACGGATGTATCTGTCATAGAAAATATCTTATTGTCCGCTTTAGATTCATAGCTTGCTTTTGTAGAATCATAGCTTACCAGGCCTAACCTCCTACTTTCAATATTAAGACTTTCCAATGTAGAAAGCCTTGCCAGGCTGTTGGCAGTAGGGAGGAAACCACATAAAAGCTATCGTAGATATATACCTCTGCCAACCAAGGCTTGTGTGAATACAGAACAGGCTGGTTTCACAGTCCACAACTAAAAGAATGTCATCAACATAGGTATCATTCTTTAGTCCTTATCTACAGTATCCTTTCAGATAAGCCATCTGCAAGGGTGTGTGCCATATCACGTATTTGAGAGGTGTGGGTGAGACATGTACTGTACTGCCTATTTCTATACACAAACACCTGTAACATCTGCATTCAAGATTATTATTTTTTTTCTGTAGAGTACTTAGTTGACACCTCGGACCTTCTTCTTATTAATGAAGTCTATACTATGTAGTCAGTAAATTGTTTCATACTGCAGAGCATAAAAACCACTTGGTGGTGTCTGTTGAAGATATTAAGTGGAAAACACTAAGAGGTTGAATGCTTTGGCTACATACAGTATATATGTGTAGGGGTAAAACTCTACCACTGAGTTGGGTCTATTGAAGGTATAACTGAAAAAAATACTAAGAGGTTAAATGCTATGGCTACATACAGTATGTTTGTGTAGGAGTAAAACTGTACCACTAGGTTTGGTCTAATGAATATATAGGTGGAAAACACTAAGAGGTTGAATGCTTTGTCTACATACAGTATGTATGTGTAGGAGTAAAACTGTACCACTATTGAAAATGTTAACTGGAAAAAATTAAGAGGTTGATTGCTTTGGCTACATATAGTACATATGTGTAGGAGTGACATTGTACAACTAGGTTAGGTCTATTAAAGATATAGGTGGAAAATACTAAGAGGTTGAATGCTTCAGTTATATATAGCCTATATGCATAGGAGTAAAACTGTACTACTATGTTAGGTCTAATAAATATATAGGTGGAAAACACTAAGAGACTGGACGCTTTGGCTACATACAGAATATGTGTGTAGTAGTAAAGCTGTACCACTAGGTTAGGTCTATTGAATATACAGGTGGAAAAGACTAAGGGGTCTATTCACAAAGCTGCCGAGTGCAGGCGAGTGAATGACCGATCAGAAGTGAAGTGAGCCGAACACCGTTCGGCTATTCACTTCAGGCTGGTACGGCTGATTTCAGCCGTATATCGGCTGAAATCAGCCGTACATCGGCTTGCTTCGTGTGGCTTCGGATCAGCCGAACATGCTCAGCATGTTCGGCTGACCCGAAGTGCAGAAGGAGTTCGACTCAGCCGATCCAACATCTGGATCTCAGTGTCCCTGGTTAGCAACCAGGGACGCTGATCTCTCTGAAAGTGGCCGGAGCCAGCTGTAAGATCACGGCTGGCTCCGCCCAGCTGTCAGAAGCAGGCTGTCGGCCGGCCAATGGCCGGCCGCTCGGCCAGCTTCGTCTTTCAGCACGGCTCAGCGCTCGACTGAGCCGCTCGGCCGTGATCGGGAGCTGTACGGGCTATTGTGAATAGCCCGTACAGCACCCCCTCGGTTCTCCTGAACCGAAGGGGTCCTGGTGCCGAAGCTAGCCGAAGGATCGGCCGAAGCTACGGCCAGATCCTTCGGCAGCTTTGTGAATAAACCCCTAAGAGGTTGTTACCTTGTTTTATCAGTGTGATGTAGCTAGACTAGTAAAAGCAGATCTGTTTTAGTTGACACTGTTTACTTAAAGTGACATTAAACCCTCAGATTTTTTTACATAAACCAATACTGTAATGTGTGCCTTACTGTAATCCATGGTTGTTTCCAGTCTCTTTGCTCCTCTTCCTTTTAAATCCACATGTCTTCTCATGCTGGGGGAGAACTTCCCTTTTCAGCTCAGGGCCTCTTCCTGTAGTGCTGGCACAGGTTACAAACCTATACAAACCTATACACAGACACCATGTATCGATTCCTGAGACAAGGCAGTCTGCTGCAAAACAGAAGTTCTGCAGAGCATGAGAACAGATACAGATTTAAAAGGAAGAGCAGCAAAGAGAAGGGAAACAACCATGGATTACAGTAAGGCACACATTACAGTATTGTTTTATGTTAAAAAATCTGAGGGTTTAATGTCACTTTAAGTCATTGCCATTATAATACTGTATCCAGCAATGTAACTTTTACTTATCAACTACGCAGCGCTACATAACACTGCAACTATAGAAAGTATGAGGTAGGACAAGACAGGGTGGCCACAAATGGCTCGATTTTTGCAAGCAATGCTTTCGATCTAAGTATCTCTTGTGGTAATCAGGACCTTTTTGTTCTCCTTAGTGACAGTGATAATTAGCATATCCAGCTGTTGAAGGCTCTCCTCATTGAACACAGAGAATTTTCAGACTTGTAAAATTCTGTGTGTGAGCAGGCTCCATTCCTCCACTGCTAAATAGTGAAGGAGGGAAAGTATTGCCTTGTTTGAACTACTTTACATGTTGACCTAATATAGCAGAGGGTCCTGTCTCTCTGTTAAATACACAATATATTTTCACAAGCATGGTTCTCTACCATCTATGGTCACCCAAAAACTAAAACTCAACCTTCACAAATAAAAACACCAACTCCCAGTTTTATACTGGGAGAGTATTTGGCAAGCAGCCAAAACTATAAAGGAATATAGTTTTCCATTTGAGCTTAACAAGGAGGGGGTACATTAAGTCAAGTCTAGCAGGCGTAAATGCAGCAATGAGCTTTCCAACTTAATGAAGCATTGCTGATTAAAATAACCTCACAACTCCGTACAAATATGCTCTGACAAACCACTTGTTCATGTGTAGACTGGACATTGAATAAGTTATGGATTTAATTCTACATCTTATTTTTGCAATAGTAGAATAGCAAACATTATTTGCCCTAGATAAGTATGTCTTCTATTGGTGGTATTGTTATTATTAGTATTATTATTAATATTATTAATAATAATCTTATTATTACCCAGATAGCAAGCAATTGTGCTGCAAGTTTGAAAATGAATTTTGTTGCACAATTACAGCAAGTCTGCATTGCAAGTCTCCAGACCAGCGAGCTTGCAGAGCTCTTCCTAAGACCTGCAGGACTCTTGCTGTAGACTTGCCCAGCAAATTTGCTACAAATTCAAAAAGTGTCAACTAGAACTTGTGCTGCAAGTGTTCTGCAAGTCTACAACTTGCCAGGAACGTGTGCAGCAAGTTAACAAAATTACAATTTCACCCTGCCACAAGATTGTGGCAAGTTATCCTTGCTATCTGGGTAACTATTGCTAACATTATATTTGTTTGCATGTACATCCATGAGCAGAACATGTGTAATATGCAACATTTTAGGTCATCCTTAATTATGAAAGGAAGGACAATCTATTCCAGAAACAGAATCTGTCTTATACCTGTCAAGTGCCAAATACAATAAAATGATCATCTATTTTTCTTAAGCTTCTTTTAATGTCAGTTAGCCATCTGATGGGTGACTAAAGGAACAAGTAGCTGCTAAAGTTCCTCTCTCTCCCCCAGCCTACTGAGTTGACAATGAAGGAGTAGCAGCAGACGGATGAAATCCCATGCTCTCCCTATCTGTTAGCACACTCCCAGTGTGAGGATTGCAAGTTACAACACAGTAGAGCCTTGACTTATTCATGTTGTTTGCACTCCCTCCCTTAGTCTGAGAAGCTAATAAAAACATAGATTTTAGGTGCTTACGCTTGTAGCATTTAAAATACCTTTAATGGCATAACTGGATTTAAGTTCAGCTTTGAGTTAAAAAACAGGTCCAGCAGGAATCAATATCATCTGTTACATTAGTAATATTCTATGGGCTTAGAGAAGTGGTTGACATTTTTTAGCAAAGAGAATCTGAATCTGTTACTTATGATGTCATATGTTACTATCATGTATCGGTATTGACAATGGCAATGCAACAAGTGTAGTAAAGGTAGCAGTCTCTCCCGGACCTATGACCCTGGCGTGAGAAGCTCTGTCTCTTGGCCCATGGGTAACTCATTATACCAGTGGACTATAGAAGTGCTTTTTTTGCTTTGTATTTTGTTGTATTTGTAGGAGTAATTATTTTTTGCTTTATTTATTTTCTTATATATTTATTGTTGCTTGAGGCAGCTAGTAGTAGTTAGTCACATTCAGCTGAACCTGCTCTGTAGAGATGAGGCATTTGCAAAGCCTTACCAAGTTGCTTCTTTAACTCTAATGAGTGTCAGGAACATGCCTCAGCGTTTATAGCCACACAGGTAGCACAAACCAATCACCATGGAAAGGCAGATGTTGGGTTTATGTTCCTGAGACCTTTTAGACCTGAGGTATGGTAAAGTATATTCCTAACACTCATAAGAACTGAAGAAGCAGCTTGGATAAGCTGCAAAAAGGTCTTCAACATTACAGAACAAATCCCATTAAATGTGACAAACTACTGCTAGCTATACCATGACCTGGATAATTTTGAACCCTCACAGCTTAAGGCATTTATTTTTGTGTATGGTTGGTGCAGTTGAAGGAAGCATTTTCCACCAGATACTTGAATTGTTTTGCTATGTCCTAATCTTTTTTTACTCATGTATGCTTATGGGGGTCAGTAAAGTATGAACAAGCATTATAAAAAGTTATAATATGGTAATAATTTGTACCAGCTTCAGCTATGGCCAGAAACATTGTAAATATATGGTAGGGCTGCAATTACAATGTTCAGTTAGCAACAAATACCATTTGTTGCCATGGTGTGTGCATGATCATGTTAGCTTTTGGAAAACAATGCCCATCAATGAAGCTCAATTGCAGCTTGACTTGAAGTGGACCTTTACCCTGTTTTACTATAAATCAGAGCAGCATGCAGCTCTTCATGCTAATTTAACTTACATTCTTTAGTTAAACAAACTTGGTTTTCATTTAC